ACAATTAGCTTTAATCTGTTCTTTCTTTAAAATCGAGTCCTTAGCGGGAAGCTGCTCGGGTGGCTGACTCTTCATGGAAGAGTTGTCCTTGGGGGGATTAGGTTTCTTCTGATGTATTGACATTACCAATGGATTGTTTTCGCGGCTGTTTGGTGTTTGCTTTTTCAGCGGAAACCGTGGCTGCTCAAGCCGAAGAATTCCGATACGTTTACGACCAGGTTTAATCGCTTCTTCCTTCACAAGGGAGTCTATAGGAGGAAGCTTCTTGGGCAGCTGATGCTGCACCCGTGCCGGGATCTTCAAGGGCTCACGCCGCAATATTCCGATATGTTTAAAAGCATCATTGACTTGAGCTGCATCCTTGGGAGTGCTGTCTCGAACCAGTGGTTTTCTACGCGGGAACGTTCCACTGATAGGTTTATGATCAACTTTCACCTGAACTTCATCCTTTGGAAAGGGGAGCTTCTCGATAGAATTCCTGGGGAGGTTATGATGCACCCGTGCCGGGATCTTCGACTTCTCGCTCTGTAAAGTTCCCCCGATAGGTTGATGATCAACCGGGATCCTTAACTCCTTACGCCGTAAAGTTCCAACGATAGGTTTATTGTCTACTTTCACCTGAACTTCATCCTTTGTACGATTGTCCTCATCCTGAGAATTCATGGGAAGGTTACGCTGAATCGGAACCGGGATCTTCAACTCTTTATGCGAGAAAGATCCACGGATAGGTTGACAACCGACTTCCACTTGTACTTTATCCTTTGTACGAGAGACATCCTGAGAATTCATGGGAAGGTCACGCTGAACCCGGGTCTTAATCTCCTTTCGCGGAAAAGCTTCACGGATAGGTTTATGACCGACTTCCACTTGAACTTCATCCTTTGTACGAGAGTCCTCATTCTGAGAATTCATGAGGTTACGCTGAATCGAAACAGGGATCTTCAACTCCTTTCGCGGGAAAGCTCCACGGATAGGTTTTTGGACAACTACTCTAGCTTCTTCTCCTGGGAGGGAGTCCTTTATGGGCAGTTCATCTTCCATGTGTACAGAGGTTTTGGGCTGTTTTCGCCATAAAATTATACTTTTTCTGTGCCCCAAATGGAACCTACTATTTTTTAGGACCGAATTCTTAGGCTTAATGAGCAAGTTACGCTGCAGCCGTACAGAGATTTTCGACAGTTTTCGCTGCAAAGTGATGCTGCAATTTTCAGAACTAACTCTTTTAGCCAGTGGTTCTATGGGTAGGTCACACTTGGACAGTACCGGAATTTCTGCGATGTCTTTTTGAGCAACTTTAATGCTAGTTTCTTCCTTTGAATGACGCTTCAGTCGTACGGGGATCTTTGGCTGCTCCCGCCATAAACATTTAACGATGCGTTTATGACCCACTCCGGTTTCGCCCTTAGAAAGGGAGTCCTTTCCCTTTGAAGTGGAGTCCTTTTCCTTTAAAGGAGAGTCCTTTCTCTTAAGAATAGAGTCCTTTTCCTTAAGAATAGAGTCCTTTCCCTTAAGAATGGAGTCCTTTTCCTTAAGAATAGAGTCCTTTCCCTTAAGAATAGAGTCCTTTTCCTTAAAAGAAGAGTCCTTTTCCTTAAAAGGCGAGTCCTTTTCCTTAAATGGGGATTCCTTTTCCCTAAAAAGCGAGTCCTTTTCCTTAAAAAGCGAGTCCTTTACCGTAAGAAGAGAGTCCTTGGGCCGAACCTTTACGACCAGGCGACGTTGCATTCGTACCGGGATCTCCGGTGATTTTAGGGATCGAATGCGAACGGTGTTTGGTTCTTTTTGAGTAAACTCTCCATTGGGCAAGTGGTCTTTATTATTGGTTGAAGCCATTGGGAAAATTTATGGATTTGCTTATATTTTGTGGCTTACTCGAACGTTTTTTGGGTAAAAACTCGTGAAAAAACCTATTTGATTAAAGGAAACCCAATAACTTGCTATATAAACTTGCTTAATTTTGTAGGAAAAGAAGTTCGGCTGATTTTAACTTGCTTTATAAACTTAAAAACAAATTTTTTTTTTAATTACTCAAAAAACAAACAAAAACTTTTGGAAAAAATAGTTTTGTTAATAATGGGGGGAGCCGTTTTTAAGCGACTTGTTTGTAGATCGACTGGTTTTAGAATGACAAACTTGTTCTATTTGTATCGTAAGGTTCGGAAAAGGAGTGACATTGATTTCCATGAAAAATAGTTTTTCAAAATTTTAAAAAGCTCAAAAAAATAAAAATCCAAATCTTGAAACGCCAACTTTTCAATTTTCCCTATAGAAATCGCCTTAAAGTGGCCTCCAGAGGAGACCAAACCAAATCCCCTTTGGTTTTCGAAAGTTGATTGGCTTTAAAAGTCGATCCTAGGCACAGACAACTTTGGCAATCGGCGATTTTTGCCCAGGACTTTCGGTGACAAAAATCAGCAAAAAAAAAAAAAATACAAATAAATAAACCCCCGCCGCGCGACACCTTAACCCACCAAGTGCCCCCCAGGGCACCTTCGAGCTTGTTGACAAGACAATGAAAAGTGAAATTGTCTCGATAGATATTAGTTTCTATCTTTTTTTCAGCTATTTTTTTTTTGGGGTTGTATCTGGTTTTCCTTTATTTTCGAGCACGTTTGTTGTTGTTTTTCATATACTATTTTTTGTTGGTGTCTCTCGTTTTTTTTTCAGTCGATTTCGCATGTTGGCATAATCATGCCAAAAACGGCAACAAAAGACCAGCGAGCAATTTTTGGTTGAGAGCCGAAAGGAGAAAGGCAGACTCGTCCCGGTCCCACTGGTTGGGGGTTCACCGGGTCGGGTTTCCCTCTCCATCTCACCCCACCTCCCCCTATGACTATATCTCACCTGCCTGGCACACATCTGAAGGACGTTTGCCCAAAAGGTCAAAAGCTGAGCCACCGTGAGCAGCCGTGTCAGCAGCGAAATGCAAACGAAATACAATTAACAATTAAACATTCAAATGTTTAAGTTGACAGGCAACAACTTTCACCAATGCCAAACAGAAAAAGGAGAAGCAAAAGAAAAAAGTATCAGAAAAACTCCCATATCATGGAGAGGCAGCAGCGAGACATTGTCGTTGCACTCTGAATAAAAATGGTTTTGAAAACTAGAGAATTAGAAAATAATTTAGGTAATGATTTCTAAAGGTAGAAAAATAATTTAAGAATTAAGAAAATAAATAAGTAAATAATAAATTAGGTCTCAAAATAATATATACAGTACTTAATTATATTATGACACTCATTGTTAAAAAAAAAAGAGACTGCGAGAGGCATGGTCACACGATTCTGATTGCTTAAAATATATTTTAGAAATAAATTGTAATTGTAATAAATTTTTAAGTATTTTTTGATATTTTAAAATAATATAATATATATGTTATATATCAGTTTAAAATAATTGAAATTATTTAAAGCAAGATATTAGTGTCATAACCCCATTGTAGAGTTTACGATACAACTTTTCAACTCTTCAACCCATACAAAATATATATGGCTTTCAAAACCAAATTGATTTCTTTAAGAAAACTATTTAAAATGTATTTCAAAATTTCTATGCCACTAAAATATATTTTTGTATTTTAAATTTAAGTTGAAAATAAATTCAAATTGTTTTAATTTTTTCAAGTGCTGCGATTCACTTGATGTCAATCAAAAATGCCATCCACATCCACACGGACAGGTATCTCTTTTCATTTGTAGTTAGTTTTTGTTTTTTTTGCACAATATCTCTCCTCCATTGAGAAATGCTGAAGGTTAAAATGCAATTGAATGAAAAGAAATACAAATAATTGAGCAGACATGCGAGGAAAGTTAAAGAGGCTGCCTGGGCTACACACAATCGAACTGGGTTCTCTTGATGGGTTTACCTGAATTTTTTTGTATATTTTTTTGTATTTTTTGGTTACCTGCTCAGCAAGCCACTTGTCGTAAATTTGCCTAATAAATTAGCTTCATTAGTGGGTTTAGCCATCGGAAAGGCAATCACATTTTGGGCCTAATGCCTATGAAAGTGATTTTTGGTATTTGGAACAAAATGGAAATTTAGTTGCCAAGGGAGTTTTTTTATACCAGTTAAAATATAAAATAATTGTTAATAAAATATAAAAAAAAGCATAATATCTTCGATGTTGTAAAAATAATTTTACTTAAAATAATTATTAATAAAGTTAATAAAAAGCTTGAAATTTTCATATTTTTAAAACAAATTTTACTTAAAATAATTTAAAATAATTATTAATAAAGTTTAAAAATAAGCTTGAAATTTTCGTATTTTTTTTTTTCTTTTAATTTTACTTGAAATATTTTCAAATATACAAACAAGTTGAAAAAGAAAATGCTATATCTAAAAATATATAGCTTTATAATCTTTACAAATTAATGTCTTTCTATATTTTTTATATCTTTACTTTTCAGTCAAATAAATCAGTGTTTAATCTATTAATTAATTACCATCTTCAGGCCTTTGTGGACACTCAATGTCCGTTTACATTTCTTCTTTGCTTTCATTAATTCACATGCAAAGTGCATTGTCTCTTTGGCTGATTTGTGCATTTTAGTTTACGGTTTTTGTTTAGTTTTTCCACACATGTTTCTATACATATATATTTTTTTAATATTCACTTAGTGGTTGGACAACAGTTTTTGTTGCGGCTTTTTGGTTCATTAACATTTAGCTTTCTACTGGCGGCAAATTAAAGTCCAAAATATTTGTACGTGTTTTTGGATACGGCCTTTTGTTGGGCTCAAAAAAAAAATAATAAAAGAAAAAACTATATTGCATTTGTCAAATGTGCATTTGGTGGGAAAGTCAACTGGAAAAAAAAGAAAAAGAAAATACTCCAACATGACAATGCCACAATTTATGCAAAATGCATATAAATATTTGTAGTTTCTCTTGTTCCGTCGTGACATTTAAACTATTTACGTTTTTGTTTCGAGGGAAATGGAAAAGTTGCATAACTTTTACTTATATATATATATGGTTTATTGAAAACTTACCCGCATGAAGAAGTAAATAAACTCAAGCTTAGATATTTGAAATATTCAAATATTGCCACAGCCACCCACCGATGGTATCTGCAATAAAAATTGTAATTTGTTAATAACAAACAAACAAAGCTGACGACAACAGCCACAAAATGCCAGACAATCACTCAAATGGCACTCCAAAAAATGTCATAACAAGCCCACCAAATGGCAAAGTTACAAAAAAACTTAAAAAAACGTTAAAAAAAATGTCTGAAAAAACGCTAGAAAACTTGAAAATAAAAACCAAATGACAGGCAAAACAAATAAAAAATCAAATTGCAATTGAAATGCCACAGCTAAATGGCAACGACATAAAAGTTTAGAAAAAAATGAGACAAAAAAGAAAAGAGACTCTGGGAATACCCTATTATTAGGGAGTATTTTTGAAGATAATAATATGTTTTTATATATAATTATATAGTAAAAATATGTAGATTTGTATTTGCACTTAAATATATTTTCTTAAAATATGCAAATACATTTTTTTTGATATTAAAATAGTTTTTGACAGTCTAAAATTGTATAAAAAGTATTTAAAAATTTAAATAAATATTTTTAAATATATAAAAATATACAACTTATATTTTAAAGCTATAATAAATATAATATAAATATGTATAAGTATAAGAAAATATACTTAAAGGTCTCCTCTTCATGCAGCAAGTGCTAATTAAATTCTACAAAACCGCAGACATCTTGGCTGCTGTGACCCACAAAAGGAAAACTAAAACAAAAATTAAAAAAAAAAACTACAAAAAAAACACAAAAAAAAAAAAAACGAAGAAGAAAAACAAAAAATCTTTCTGTTAGTTTTTGGCATTTTTTGTTTTGGATTTTTCTTCTTTCTGGTTTTGCTGGGGATAATTGCGGCATTTTAAAAGAGCTTGCATTGTTTTCCAAGCTGGTGGCGGATTATGCAATAGCAAGCAGCTTCCCCTCAGCAGCCTCCCCCCGCCTCCCTCCTCCCACCAAAACCCCTAACCTCATCCACACAGCGGTGGTAAACATGGAAAAACAGTTATCTGTGAAATTGCATCGACAAACGTGATGAACGTTACCCCAATACACATTTTGAGGCTTGCGAGTCGCGAATGGCAAGCCAAAGAGCACACTGAGGAAAATCTTGTGGAATTTTCTTAAAATTTTAAATTAAAATAATTTAAATTAAAAGCTAGAGGTTGTTTTTGTACATTTTTCTATTGAAATTATACAACCCAGACTTTGTTTTGTATTAAAAAAAATTCTGAGAACTTAAAAAAGTGCCTTAGAGCCTTTTAGAACCATTGAAATTATATTATTTTTAATGTTTTAAAATATAAAATGATATAAAATAATATTATTTTATAATATTTAATATAATTTTATATTTTTAAAATTTAAAAACATTCTATATCTTTCTATCTATATCTTTCACTTCCTCTTTTCTTCCAATTCTTAGATTTTATTTTCCATATATTTTTTTTTCAGTGATCTTTGCTGAGACATTGTTTCTCCTTGTATTTGGCACAGGCTGGCTCTGACTTTGCTCTTCCGACTTGAGTGCGCCTGGGTGCCTAATTCTCATGTCATGTCCCAGACAATGCCCACCAGTAGTCCCCTCCTGGAAGCGGAGCCCCCACAGCATCATCATCATCATCATCATTATTGTCGTGGTTCTGGGCTCCGTGGGACGATGCGGGAAGATGAGCTCTGCACTCAGCCTGCCTGCCTGCCTGCCAGCCAGCCTGCCCATTTCCCGCCATGGAAACACACCCACAAATCCGCGGAGGCCAACCCATAATCCGCTTCCATTTTCCGGCCACCGTTGACACAGTCTCTCACACTGAAGACTAACCCCATATGATTGAGTTAAAGGAGCGAAGGTGGGCTTAGCAGTTGGTTAAATGTTGTATTATATTAATTATTAAGTGCTATATTATATATAAATATATAAATATTTTTTAGTTTAGAATTATATGTATATTTGAATTCATAGCAATTATTTTAAATTATCAAATTTGGCAAACAGGAAGTTTAGCCAAAATTATTATATTTAACTCTTTCTGTGTGCTGAGTTAATATGAAGTTAATTATATCATTGAAGCGGAATTCCATTAATTAATATTAATGGTTGTGGATGTGGGCTAGAGGCAACGTTAAAGTGAATTATGGTTCTTTTGTTATCTATTCTGTTATAAGTTGAGATTTCAATATGAGCAAACCTATTTTATTAAGAAAAAAAGTATTATATATATTTTGTATAAAAGTAAATCTAAAAAAATATTATAATAATAAGGGGATCAAAAAAATTAAACAATTCATAAAAATTATAAAATAAATATAACATTTTTTTTTTTTTATAATTTCTAACATATAATAGTACAATATTCATTATTTATTTGCAAATACAACCAATAAAACTTTAAAAAAACCCGAACATTTAACGAAAACTCTAGATTCTCCCTTCGCATGTGTTTGGGAATTTGTGTTAACATTAAAGTTGCCCCTTCTCAGGTAATTACATCTCCGTCAGCAGCAACTAACTAAGAGATATATACACTCACACAAACACACACACACACTCAGCACACACACAAAATTCACAGTTGCACTTTAATGGGCCTAATGAGCGGTTTGTTCTGTAACAACACCAACATCAACAACCCCAACAACATCTCCAACAACATCGCCAACAACACCAACAAAGGCAACAATGCGAGCAACTAATTCGCTCAATTGTTGTTCTTGTTGTTGCGGCTGTGCCACATTTTTAGTGTTTGTAGTTTTTTTTTTTTTTGCTTCCCTCTTTACATCACTTGTCTTGGGGGCAAGTTCGTTTCCTAAGTCTTTTGTTTAGCTCGTTGGCGTGGGTAAAAAAAAAAAACAACAACAATCCCAAAAACAAAACCAAACCAGACCTAAAAACCAGCAAAAAACAAATCAACACAACCGAAAATCGAAATCATACAACCACCGATTTCTATAGACCAAGCCACGCCCCCCAACGCCTCAATATCTGTGTCAGTTCAGTTTTTTCTCCCCCCAAAACTGATTTTTATTCATCAACGAAACAAACAGAAATTTGTTCATAGAAAAATTATTCGATTATGACATTCGATTACAACATCTTCGAGTGGGGGAGGGACAGGGTGAGAGAAGTGAAATCAGCATCCAGCAGTATTCAGTATTCCGTATTCAATATCAAAGCTCCGATTTTGACCAAGTCACGCTTTCTTTGAATTTTTGATTTCATGGTTGTGGTTCGGTTAGTTTTTATTTTTTGTATTTGTTGTTGCTTATTTATTAGGGACATTTTTGCACTAATTAAAAGACAAGTGCTAATTTTAAATTAAACAGAAATTTGTCAAGGGTAGCCACTGCACTAATTTGGTTGGGTAAGACGCGGCGAGCGGAAAATAATTTAGTCAACGTTGTAACATTTAGAAATGCAGGGGAAATCTGAGTTATATATTATATAGCTCTCACAGTTCGTAAACAATAAATACTTTAGACTTTTATTATGTTTCGGATATCTGAATAACATAAAAATTGTGAACTTTTTAGCACTTTGCAAGGTTTTTTACAGCGAAGGAGTCATTTCCGACCCTATAAATCATATATATTCATGATCAGCAGAGTTGATCTAGCCAGGTCCGTAAAAAATTTTTTTTTCAATTTTGGTAAGTTTTTTCAAAATTTTCTAAGGGGGTACATCATTAAAATTGTCAAAAAAAATAAATGGAAAAAAATTAAATTTCAAAAACTCTTAATATTAAAATGCAGATTTATTAACCTTAAAAAAAACTAAGAGAAGTCCGCTTTCCGAATTAAATTTAATGCATTTTTGGCTGAGTTATACATTTTTTAATTTTTTTTTTCACAAAAATGGTCCCCAAAATTGCAAAAATAAAAAATTACAAAATAAAAAAATATCTAAAAAAAATTAAATTTAAAAAACGCCTTAATTCAGTATGGCGATTTATAAACCTTATAAAAACTTAGACAACCCCGCTTTCCAAATTGAAGTTAATATTTTTTTTGGCTGAGTTATAGATTTATAAATTTTAATTTTTTCCCAAAAATGATTTTAAAAAATTTTACCATTTTTTTCAAAATAACATACATAGTTAAAATTGAAAAAATTGTAAAAAATTTTGTAAAATTTAAATTCATATTAAATAAATATTAAAATCATATATTAGTTAAGTTTATATAAACTTCCAAATTCAAAATTAATATAGCTTAAGCTTAGTTATCAGCGATTTTTAAATTAATTTTTGCCTAATTATAGCTTTGGTTTCATTTAAGTAAATAAAATAGATTTTTAAGCTGATGTAACTTGGTTTATTTTATTTTTTTGTATTTTTTTTTGCTTAAACTCCAAAGGAAAGTTTGCAAATTGAAAAGTCGCGCGCCTTTTCCGTTTACTTAAACAATAAACAAGTGGCGTCGTGATTGCAATCAGTGCAGTTAAAGTGGAGTACCAGAAATCAGAAAACACCACCTAAATGGGCGACCTTTTGCGGATGCAAACTGCAAGTCCTCCCTCCATTCAGTTGGACTTTCGTTTGGCTTCACATTTGGCGATCTTATTTTTTAGTTTTTTTCAAGTTTTTTGGTTTTATTTACGTCTGGCTATCTGTAAGCAAATTGATTTGGCCAGCACATGCGACTATGAGGTTCGTTAGCTGCTTGGGGAGCCCCTGTCCAACGCTTTTTATTGCTTGGCATAAAAGTTGAGCGAAAATCAAAAGGAAGCGATCCGCGGCAGATACAAATTAAGCAAAAAGTCGTTGGACGATTACGTGGCTGTGGCAAAAACAGGGCGGGGGGGACAGACAGAGCGACAGACACAGGTTGCATCACCGTCATTATAATCGAAGACCCACAAAAGACAATGGGTCTCGACACCTTTTTTCTTGCCTCTATCTTATATATATATATATATATATATAGTTGCCACCAGCGAGGAGGGTTGCACGCCCAAATGGGAAACGCCTGAATGGAGCCATGCGATAGCCATGAGCTTGGTGGAACCCGAACCCGGCAAGTCGATTGACTGACTGACT